TAAAAATTCTATAAAAATTTTTTATGTTTGAAATGCAACCGTGGACGCCAGCTGGCAGCGAAACTTGCAAATTCCTGCAAATTTGCGTTCGTGCAGAAATTTGCAAGTTTCTCAACATGAGAGAGAATTTGAGAGAATTTTTTCTTACTCTCTGATATTTTGAGTGTTGGATAATTCTTGCTGGATTTTCGACGAACAAACCTAATATCTCGCCAAGACTTTCATTTATCATCTTTGCTGACTTTATGAAAAACAGAAATTTACGTAAAGTACGTATAACAGTTTCATTTTATTACACAACTAAACACTATTGTGAATGGTTTGAGAATTTGACAGTTGCGCCGGCGACCACTACTTTGTGCTGTCAAAACAAATCCAATTTCACGTGTGGCAGAACGAGGTGCACGCCGATTTAAAATATTTTGTGTTTTATGAATTAAATAGAGCAAAACAAGTAAAGCATTAGCAGAAATAATTAAAAAATGTCTTCCTCATTCTTTCTTAAAAAGGAACCTAAGGCGAATAAAAAACGAAAGGTAAGCAAATACATATACGATGAATATCCCAAACGTATCAATGTTATTATCCTTTGGTCCGCGATTATAGCTTTCAAAAGATCCACGAGCAACTGGTGCCAAAAAAAGAAGTGACAAGAAACAGCCAACAAGCAACGCACCACCAGCACGTAAACGACCGCAGAAGGACGATGAAGAAATCGCCAGCGATGATGAGTTCGGAAGCGGCGAAGGAGATGCCACCAATTTGGTTTTCTCATCAGATGAGGTGGAAGAGGAGACACCACAAGACAAACGATTGCGTTTAGCGAAACAATACTTAGAAGAAATTGAAAAACAAGAAGCGGAGCGTGTGGAAGATCGTGAATTACATGACCACGTAGCACAGCGCCTACAGTCAGAGTACCTTGACAGCGTGGGGAAATTGCGGCGGAATATAGCCGGCACTATTGAAGATTATGATGCAGAGAATGTGGTTGTGCTTAAACATAAAAAGCAACATCTACCAATGTGCGCGTTTGCCGTCTCACCTGATGGTAAATATCTATTTAGTGGCGCTAAAACACAATTCGTGCTAAAATGGAGCGTACAAGGTCAAGTAAAGCTGGAAGGGTTATTTAACGTACAACCACACAACGAAGATGAGAAAAGCGATACGCAGCGTCGGTCACACGTTACGGCAATATGTTTATCGACTGACATGAAATACTTAGCTCTGGCCGAAGGTGGTCGAAACATACAGATTTGGTGCCCCAAGGATCTAACACACTTAAAAACGTTCAAGGGACACAGAGATGTGGTTACCTCGCTCGTCTTCCGAAAGGATACACATGACTTGTATTCGGGCTCAAAGGATAGATCAGTGAAAATTTGGTCGCTCGACGAAATGGCCTATGTGGAGAGCCTGTGAGAAAATACATTGCAATTTAAATGTTGTATACTTGAAACGAGTTTTTATTACAGATTTGGTCATCAGGCGCCCATTACAGGCATAGATGCGCTGAGTCGTGAACGTGCAATTACCTCAGGAGGTATCGATTGCTCATTACGTATATGGAAAATTACTGAGGAATCACAACTGATCTACAACGCGCACCAAAATGGCATTGAGTGTGTTAAATTTATAAACGATGAAAATTTCGTTTCCGGAGGCGAAGATGGGTAAGAAGTAGACACACAGACTTCTTTATTTATCATTTCATTAATTATCTTTATATTTTATTCAGTTCACTCTGTCTATGGAGCGCATTAAAAAAGAAACCGCTCTGTACAGAAGCGCTGGCGCACGGTACCCAGAGCAATGGAGTGCCCAACTGGATAACGGCAGTTGCTTGTGTGGTGAATACAGACTTATTAGCATCAGGTAATCACGAGCTGGCGACAAAAAGAAATTTATTACTTAAGAGGTGTTGGTATATTTTTAGGTTCCTTTGATGGTTACATTCGTCTGTGGCAGTCCCTTGACAATTCACGCAAACTTAAACAAATTTTAAAAATTCCTGTGCCAGGTTTCATAAACGCCTTAGCGTTTAATAGTAATGGCACGAAATTATTCGCAGCCGTTGGTCAAGAGCACAAATTAGGCCGTTGGTGGCGAATCAAGGAGGCGAAAAACAAGATTATCATCATTGATTTTATTACAACTCCTATAAAGGCTAGCTTAATTTGAAGAAGTAACTAAACGCACTCGTAAATTAACGCTTTTAATTGAATGCCTGATTTATTTTTAAACAAAGCGCCTGTGTTGTTCCGCAATGAGCGTGTTAAATATTAAATGTTAAAGCTAAGTTAAAAATATGAAGAGTTTTACAAATAAAATACAAATAAACAGTTTTGTAAAAATATGCCAAATGAATATCGTTGGAATGGATTGCTGAATCTCGATAAACTAAAATGAAAGGAAGTTGATACGTCCACTATCGCTCATTAATTACTATCGCCTACTACGTCGGCTATGGTGGCCACAAGACGTCGTGAATGCTCCACAGCACAAGTTGCCGTAACTAAACCCAAGTGAATACAGAAGAGTTCATAGCATTTAATTTTACCTGGAGCAGACTTTGGAAAGCACACTTCAGTAAGTTGTTGGTAGTAGTCTGCAGCTAGCAAACCTGGTTCGAACTGAGGTTTAAATGAATTACTTGACGATGCCG